TTTCTATGCTCTGATTAGGTGTATTTACACTTGTATCTCATTCCTAGCACTTCCTCTTTATTAGTGCACATTAGTAGCTTTCGATTTTTATTTATTCGTATATCTATTATCCTTATCGTTTCTGCACTGTGCACATGGCTACGTCACCCTCACGTGACGGCCAGCACGCCGTGACTTAGGTCGGGATGTGTCATATATTTAGGGAATTGTGATTTGCACTCCAAAAAATCTTATTCTACACTTTGCACAAGTGTATTTTTCTTTCTAATTATAGAAAGTTTGGAGTACTAAATAAGATTTTTGGAGTGCTAATAATAATTTTCTATATTTATATACATTTTATTTTAGTTTGGAAGTCGACTTCCTTTTTTTTTTTATCAAGTTGGGAGTATCACTGACTATGACCCTATGCGACTAGTTGTTGATTTGTTTTGAAAAATCAACAATATTTCTTGCAATGTCTTGGCTATGAATAATAGAAAGAAAATGGTCATGATACAAGCTGAATAAGAGTAGTACTAATTAGTAAACAAATTGTGCATGATGTTTACTTATAACCAAGTGGCATGAAGGGACAAATATGTATGTTTCATGCATGACTTGGAATAGTATTAATTAAACTCACTTAACAACAATAAATAAAGGCATTATCTTAACTTAGAGGTGGTGAGCAATCCCATTAAAATAGAACTTAATATATACATATTAAAAACAAAAACAAATTGATGCAAAATATCTCAACGACTAATACATGCATGAAACATACACATTTGTCCCTTCATGCCACTTGGTTATAAGCAAACATCATGCATCCATAAAACTTTACCTTGCGAATCCAACAACCAGAGAAATGAAACCAGGTGGGCCTGCAAATATTCCCGAGAAACAAACAGAAAAAACAATCCCTTCATGCCACTTGGTTGTTAGCAAACATCATGCACAAGTTGTTTACTAATTAGTATTACTACTATTAAGCTTGTATCATGACTGTTTTCTTTCTGTTATTCATACGCCCAAGACATTGTAAGAAATAATGTTGATTATTCAAAACGAATCAACAACTAGTTGCACAGAGTCACAGTTAGTGATACTCCCAACTTGAAAAAAGAAAAGAAAAAAAAAAGCAAGTCGACTTCCAAACTAAAATAAAATGTATAAATATAGAAAATTGTTATTAGCACTTAAAAAATCTCATTTGGCACTCCAAACTTTCTATAATTAGAAAGAAAAATACACTTATGCGGAGTGTAGAATGAGATTTTTGGAGTGCTAATAACAGTTCTCTAAATATGTCTTAACAAATATTGTATGTGGCATTGACTTAGACTTTCGCGAATAGACTTATAATTTCTGGTATCTAATAAATATCTAGATTGAAAATATTCATCGATCTACAAAATTTTCTCATTGAGGTACCCATTTTTTTGCCACATATACCAATATAGCGGCTAAAAGACAATACGATATTAAATTCATATGTGGTCGATATATTTATGAATTTAATCATTAAAATGCATAAGCTCAATGATACATTCAAGTTAGATCAATTCCCGAAGTTTTGGTCAACAATAAAACTGCTTACCTATGGGTTCACCTATAAAACGTGCAAAGGTGATATACTTTTTAACCACAGTTCTATGTATTGTAAATTTTTTTTCCGCAACTTTTGTGGCATATAGAGGCTAAAAGATTCTACGATATCAAATCCATATATGGTTGAAGTATTAATCAGTTTAATCATTAAAATGCATAAATTCAATTACACATCCAGGTTAGATCAATTCCCGAAGTTTTGCTTCACAATAAAAAATGCTTAGCTATGAGTTCACCTAGAAAAATTGCAAAGGTGATATACTTTTTAGCCACAGTTCAATGTAATGTGAATTGTTGTCCGCAACTTTTGTACCTAATAAATATCCACGGTTTCGACAAAAAGTTATCATGGACGTACCCATTTTTCTACCACAAATAAGAATATAGAGCCTAGAAGATTCTCATTTAACTGAAACATACCAAACTCATTAAACACTCTAAGCAGAAGCTCATATCGATTATTAAGCTAATTAGTGCTCTAGAAATTTAGAGATGTCAAATGATGAAGAAAAGGAAGAGGAAGAGGTTTGGATGACCACGGAGGAGTAGATGGGGGTGCAAAATGACAACCATGGGAGATGGAAGGGTTTTTTAAAGGGAGAGAAGGGGATTTGCTCCATGGAGATGATGAACTGGTTAGGGTTTTATTTTTTATTTTTAAGTATATTGAGTTGGTTGTAAAAAGAAGTTTGATTGAGTTGAGTTTTGATAAGTAATGGCGGTTTAGGAAATAATGTTGGGTGTAAATAGATAATGATAGATAAAGTAAATACAATGTGGATATAAAAAGTAAGTTGGGTGTTGAGATACAAAATATGGATTCAAATAAAATTTCCCAAAAAATAAAATGAAATTTGGTAACGAGTACAAGAGTTATTGCTAAACATAAGCCTACTTTCCATCATCAAGTCCTCCACAATCCATTATTGTTTTTTTGTTTTTAACAAAATGATTAAACAGCCTTAACTTAAAAAAAAATAAATTAAAGAGTCTTCAACAAATTCACTGTCGATCACGCCGGATCTGAAAAGGAAATATTAATAATCCTTGCAGCATATCCTAATTAATGGTTCAAAAGTGGTAATTAACTTTCAACCTCTAAATTAAATGGGCATTGATTTCCTAGATATACACCATTCTCCCTCCACAAAAGGAAATCCAGTTAAAGGAGTCTCCGACTACATCACCATATGCACATATATATATATATATATATATATATATATATATATATATATATATATATATATATATATATATATATATATATCATGGCTGGTTAAATGAAATAGTCCACAGAAATTTGAGAAGATTAAAAGATGGCCATAGCACAAGAGCTGGTGCTTTTCTGTATTGTCACCTATGCTTTATGCACAGGTCTGTATAATGCTATAGCTTTGTTGGTTCACGCTATAGCTTTCTTCTTTCATTAACATATATATATATATATATATATATATATATATATATATATGGTCAGGATCCGGGATACATATTTTTCTAACAAACATTTTGACATATTTTCTTAGGGCTCACTACGTAATCTCTTTCAAAAAATGCAAATGTCTATTTCAATTTATCGATCATCCTTGCAAAGACAAACCCAAAACCATTAAAACATTCATTTGTAGTGAAAAAAAATGAACGGATACAGTTCGACATATAGTTTTGAATTCGGTTGATTTTATGAAATGATCTTTGAATAAATATCTAAAAAATAAGCGATTCAAATCCTTGAAATATAATTTTTAGTGGAACCTAAGAAAATGCGTTAGAATGTATGTCAAAACAATGTATGTCTCTCGATCCTAATCCTGTTTCAATTCATATGTCCCAATCTACATAAAACTGACCAATAAATCAATAAAATTAACCATGTATCGTATAGCTAAAAGAGCTCAATTGATGTTTTACAGCTTTTCGAGGTGAAGCTTATCAAGACTGTTGCCAGGAAATACCATGTTGCCGTGATTACCTTAAAAAATGCAAGCCGACATCGTGCGATTATTATTGTCTAGAGGAATGCGGGCAAAGTGGTTCTTGCATAATTAAGAAAGTCCGTGGACTTTACATTCCCTAATGTCGTTGCTGCACTATAACTTCTCCTCCTCCTCCCGGTGGAGAAATCGGAGGATTCGTTTCTTCGCGCCCCATTTATTCACAAGAGGATGAATAATATAGTCCAGGATGACATAATTGGGGTGCCAGTAATAACAAATTTCATAAATAACTTCGGTAAACAACTATTTTGTAATCCTTTTTAATTTTGATGTACAAAGCGATGCCGTTATATCAATAGTAAATGTACTTAACTAAGACTTATAATTCAATAAGCTCCCAGTGAATGTTTGGAATTCAAAGTATTTAATTCGTTGACCACTTAGCATTACGGTTTAGTGGTATTATTCTCTATTAAGTCAGATTTTCCTTACATGGTGCGACTCGGGTACAAAATAATTCTAAGAACAATGCAGGTTTCAGCACATCATAAAGAAAGTATCTCAACCCTACGTACATAGGTCCAATTCCAATTTTAAGAATTTCAATAAGAAATGCTTTAGAAGTTAGAACAGAATTCAATCAAACAAGTAAAAAAAGAAAGAACAAACAGTCAATCCGGTGTACTGTGCAGAAGTTGGAACCTTGCATTGTTGACGCCTTGAATCTTGGATTAAATTTGGCATGGAAAATTCAAACCTAGTTGAAACATTCATAATTAACGGGGGATTTAGCATACAGTTATGTGATGGGAGAGACAGAAAGAGGAGGATATATCTCGGGTCACGCTAAGAATCTTAGTCTTTGACATTATTGAGCCCTATCCAAGTAATAAGAATTGATTAGCCACGCATCCTTATCCACAAGAAGGCTCAAGACCCGTTGAATTTTCCTTCCAATAATTTTCTTGAGCCATCTGTTCAAGGAAGATTGAATTTTCTAGCAGCAGCCCCATGACCTCCATAAGTAACGACAGACAGTCAAACCCTATCTTGTTCCCAGGCCACCCGTGTCAACATATAGTTTGGCATACTTAACTTTGAAGGGTGACAATTTTGGCACGAAAGGGAACCCTACTTAAACCCAACACAGAATTAGAATGTGGTTTGGGTTAATTTGCCGTTCCTTGACATCAACATTAAGATCATATTAGCTTACACCATCAAACACGTGTCATTTAGCTAGTTAATTAATTTGTCTAGTTAGTACGTGCTCAGTTAGGTCAGCTTTGTTCTAATTAGTCAGTGTGGGTCAGGACATGTCATGGATTTTATGAGGAATGCTACTAGATCAACGAGTTTTATAAACAAGTTAGTTAGTGTTTAAGTCATTCGATACATGATGAGATGGCACAACCGCACAAGCTGTTGTTCATAACATCACACTCTATATATAGCCCCATATACATGTGTAGTACTCCTGCCCAAACCCAAACAAAGGCAGCTAACCATGGCCAGGTTTTCGGTCATCGTGGCAATAGTGTTCTTATTTGTGATAGCTCCTTTTGTCAGTAATGCCACCATAACTTGTGGTGAAGTGGTAGCTTGGCTCACTCCATGCATACCCTTTGGAGTGTTTGGAGGCACAGTGCCTCCAGATTGCTGTAAAGGCATAAAAGAGCTGAATGCTGCACAAAACACGACGATGGACCGGAGAATTGCTTGCAGTTGCATTCAGGAAGGAGCTGCAGCAATCCCCGGGATTAATTATGACCGGATTAACACTCTTGGTGATGTCTGTGGCTCTCCTTGTCCTTACAAAGTTTACCCCTCTACAAATTGCTCTGCGTAAGCCTCAGCCTCCTTTATGTTTTTAACTTTTGTAAACATACCACCAAAGTATGGCTTAATTATCAAAATCCCCCTTGAACTATTGCTAAAGTTTACCCGTACGTACTTTGGCGACTCTATCACTTTGCTCTCATGAGCACTCATTTTGCGTCTCAAATTACTATATTTAGTCTAATTTATTATAGTGAACTTTTAACTTTTTCTTACATGATGCCTACGTGGACTAATCCCTAAGGTCATATTTCGCTGAGGTCCACATAAGAAAAAGGTAATGATTCACTTAATGAAAATTGAAATAGGGCAACGTGAAACGCAAAATAAAAGTTCAGGAGAAAAAAACAAAGAATAGAGTGATACTATTGTGATAGTTTAGGAAGCATTGGATAATTAATAAACAAAAGCAATAGCATACTAATTGTATATTTGGGTGCAATTTTTTTCAGGGTAAGCTGAATCCATAGGAGGATTGGAGAATGGAGAATAAAGCTTCCGAGAAGACTATTCCTCGAAGCCATATATCTAGACAGACCTCTTAGTTGTTTAAATCACAATGCTTTTGTGGAACTTAATAATTTGGAAGGGTCGAATCGTTCTGTATAAGGATTGTACGTAATCCATTACCATCTATTAATAATAAAATGATCCCCTTTTATACACAAAATCAGTGCCGGCCCTGAGGGTGTGCAAGTAGTGCCACCGCATAAAGCTCCCAAAGGCCTCGATTTACGATTTTACTTTTCTGTATATTTCATATATAAATTTAAACGTGCAAAGATATAATCAATTGTTCTCTCAATGCAATTCTCTTGAGCGTATTATCCTTAACCTAGGAACTGGGTTCGAGTCCTCCCAATGGTGGTATTTTTGTGTGTTTTATTTTTAATTATTTTGGTATCTAAAAGCATGGTTTTGTGTTTTATTTTAATTATTTTTGGTATTTAAAAGCATGGTGTTTTAAACCCAAAAACTTAGGGGAGGCAAATAGGCAACTAGCTACCACACCAAGAATTTTTTTTTTCTTTTACATTATTATTTTTTATGATTAAAAATGTAAAAGAAAACATAGCAACTATAATGTTAGACTTTTTAAGGGTTTTATTCTCTTTTTTTATATATTTTTTATTTTTATAAATAAGGAGTTTCGAACTCAAAAACATAGGGATGCAAATAAGTACCTAACCACCGGTCCACCACCTAAATTTTTTTTTTTTTAATCTCAATTCATTCATAATCATAAAAATTAAAATGTAAAAGAAAACATAGCAATGAAAATTCTATACAATTTAAGGGTCTCCGTTAAAGTCTCACACAGGGCCCCCATAATCTCAGGACCGGCCCTGCACAAAATATACGCATTGTCTGTATGTATGAACAATTTATCTATGACATTTTTATTTTCAGTTTTGATAAAACAATAACAACAACAAACAACAACAAAACTTTTTCCCACTAAGTGAGGTCGGCCTAGTTTTGATAAAACAATACTTCAGTTAATTTTTTGTCAAGTATTCTCTAGATGACATTGTTCGTGAGTCTATTTCAAATTCGATAAGTAAATACATCCGGTTTACAGCTACCACAGTGTGCCAAGTTTCAATAAGTAACGGGTGACCCTGCCAATAAGACTCCCCACTTTGCAAGGGTCGGAAGGCGGACGTCTACCGAACTTCAATAAGTTAAATAAAAAATAAAATAAAATAAAATGAAAAACTAGATGAGTAAATTTTATGAATATGATTTTCAGAAAAGCATGAATATATCAGAAAGGAAAAAGAAAAATGTGGCAGTAGTACACAGAGTTACAAGGTATTACATAACAAACAAGATACAAAGGATGAGAATGCTGCCATGAATTGACAGCATCTCCACGCCCATGGGAATGACCTTCCATTCCCAGAATTTATAGCACCCCCATACACAAAAAATCAACCTCGAACAGACAGATGAAAAGGGTGCCTCCCACTTTTGGGGAACAGCCCTAAGAATAAACAATTAAGAATAAATTCTTGACACAAATTCAATAAATAATGAAATAAATATGGAGTAGCCTCTCTAAATGATCGGATATCAATCTATGAACAAACCTACCAGACAGCGTGTGCAATGGACAAGTCAGCAGGCGAGCAGCTCGACAGCCAGTTTGTGTCAAAAAGTAGAACTACTTTCACTAGCAGAAAGCGAGGGGTCTTCAGACTTCACGAGAGGTGCTCCTTTGCTACCAATGTCGAGTCCCTGTAACTGACCGACAGGACCATTCTGCAACATATCTGAAAGATGAGTACGAGAATTTGCCTGATGCAGGTGTTGGGTTGGCATACTAGACTGGGAATGATTGAATTGTGGCAAATGCATGGTCTGGTGACTAGCCGGTCCTGGTTGTTGTTGAAGCGGAAAATAAGCTGATGGATGGTTGTATGGCATCTGGTGCATTCCCAAGGTGAATGAATCAGAAGCACTCATCATCTCCCCTGTGGCAATCTTGAGCCTCTCAACCTCCTTCTTCAGTGCTTCGTTTAATGCTGCACGAAATATTTCAAACAAAATAAGTACCAGTTGGATTAAGACCATTCTCTTCTGATATAATTCAGAAATAAGAAAAGTTTTGAGTATCAAATATGATAAAAGTTGGCATGTTGCTCACCATCGCGCAACTGAGCTTGTTGTTCCATAGATTGTAACCGACGCTTAAGTTCTGTGTTTTCAGTACTCAGACCTGTTGTGTCCCTCTGTAAGTGACAAAAAACAAAAAAAGTCATAACCTTTAACCAATTAACAAACATTTGTGTATATACGTAAGAAGTGAGCAGAACAACACAGTCCAGAACCAAATGAAGGCTAAATATTAACAGAACATTGCAGCAAAGGATGAATTGATGAAATTCTATTAAAATACTTGCTCCAAGTATCCTTTGTTTTGATTGACGAATACCTTTTTTTTTTCCATACTACGTGTCATCTATCAATTTAAAAATGCATAACATAGAGCGATTAGCAATGTTAGATCACAAAAAATGGCTGAACAGAGATTTCATGTTTGATTTTAAGGCAGTGTTGTCAGAAAAGATGTGCACATGCAGTACATTTAACGAAAGCTGCTAAAATACACCGACACAAACCTGGAATAACGTAAGTTGGGCAGAAAGAGTGGTTGCTTCTGTTTGAAGGGTCTGAACTTTGCGCTCAAGTTCTTGCATATAGCGTGCCTTCCGTTCTTTTGAGCGAGCAGCAGACTGCCGATTCGCCAGTATCCTATATATGACAACCAAAATGTAAGGCTCCCAAAAATCCCTTAACCGGAAACAAATAGAGTTCAAGAAGTTTGTAGGCAACTAGGCACACAAGTCTTGCATGCCACCATGAGTTTTTGAATGTACAAAACACTCGTACAGCAGTAATCTAAATGGTTTGCTTGGGTGAGAGAAAGTACTCCATTGATACATTCTCGCAAAATACGGTTATTGCTGTATCCATTTCATGCATGCAAAAGCATATATAACTTGAGGAAAAGGAAAACTATGATGCATATGAATGAATCTCAAATAGGAGGACGATGGATTCATACTTTTCCAAATTTTATAAAATATTATTCTCCAAATAGAACCTTCATGCAGTTCAATTCTAATTAACACTCGATCTCAGTCGAAAAGGAAAGTCTTGAAAACCGAGAAACAACCTACCTCTAGTAGTGAATTCTAGCAAAGGCAAAGCCTTTGATCAGAAAAATAGCTGGTTTGTGGCAACATCAGTTACTAATATTTTTTTTATGCTAATTTGCAGTTTCTGGAATTCAGTTCATTAAATTCAGCATTTATATGTTCGCGATTTCCATATCCCCAAAACCCAATTAGGATTCCTTCTCACATTTCACATTTTCTCAGCAACCAAACAGAATGCAACAAAACAAAGCAACCCAGAAAGAAAAAAAAGGAAGAAAACAGAGCATTTTGCAGACCTTTTGGCACGCTTGGGATCAAGGTTCCAGAGCTCCGCGAGCTTATCAGGAGGCATAGCTTTTTTGGCATCCATGACCTCCCCAAACACGCCGGTCGACGTGGACGACCCATCCACCGAGCTGCTATACCGGTGCCTGGACAGCTTCTTCTCTCCTCCTCCATCACCGCCACCGCCATTCCCATTGGACCCACCATTAGGCCCACCATTGGGCCCATCGTTGCCGCCGCCATTCTGATCCGACGAATTATTGGACCCGCCAAGCTTGTCGAGGTCAATGTACGTGGAGAACAGGTCCTCCTCCGATCCCATCTCCTCGAGACTCGCCGTCGACGATCCGCCGTTAAACGGATCCGCCGCTGCCGCGGACATATCCACCATGTCCTCCGACAGCCGAAAGCTCACCTCCGAGTGGGCCCTCCTGTGGCTCCCGCCGTAATCGTGGTGGAGGTGGGACCCGTCCGCATCTTCCCGGATGAAAGGGGAGGCAGAATTGCCCAGCATTGTCGCCAAGCTCAGGGATGTAGACGTGGTGGACGAGGTTGAAGACGAGGACGTGGCGGCCGCTGCTAGTCCCGAAGCATTGGCATTGCCACTAATGCCAACGCTTCTGGGGAGCGGTGGGATAGGATTGGATTTGGGATTGGGATTGGGATTGGGATTTGAATTGAAGGTGAAGAAATTAGAGTTAGGGTTGGGTTGTTGGAGGAGGTGTTGATCTTGGTGCATCGGCGGGGTGGTGGTTTCTGTGGACATTGTGGGTTTGTTTGTCCCTCCCTCCCATGTGTTTCGCTCCACTTTGTGTCTTCTGTTCGGTTTCTGTTTTTGTTTTTTTGACTTCTTTTGTTTTGTTTTCTTTCTTTCTTTCTTCCCTCGTTCGCAAGAAACACAATGTAAAATTTAAGTCATTACCATTTGTCGGAGAGAACGAAAAACGAGAAAAAGTAATGTTAGAGAGATCAACATTTTTTTTATGTAAAATCACCTCTTGATATACTTTTTGTCACGTACCATGCATGATTGATTGACGATAACACAACTGCAAAGTAGACCGGTGATCAAACAGTCCAAAACACCGATCTTGATGCCTTGATTGGTGGAATGTGTCAATCACATTGTCATTGTCAACGTACCCAATGGTGGACACTGGTGTTTATTCAAATGAATTTCTATTTTTCTAGTAAAATTAAGGACTAGTCCTAAGGCTCATTTTACATCCAACTTTAATGTTCGGAACTGTCTTTTTTTCAAGTTATAGTCTATACATCATCTTTGTAGAATATTAATCAAATCGAAAATGTTTGGGACATCCAATTATGTTCAAAAAAATTGACAAACATTATATTTTAAGAAATATTGAATTTTTTGGAATAAAGAATTAAACATAGATGGTTTGAATAATTGAAATTCGACGTATAATGAGTGGTCCATATTTTTACTAAAAAATGAGAACCTCTTTGAATAAAGGCTTTGTTACATTATAACATCAATAAACGATGTTCTTAATATATTAATAATTTTTATAAAACAATAATACCACGTAACTATATTATGAGTAAGAAAAAAATTACTTGAATGAAATTCAGAAATAGAATAAGCCTTGCCCCCTTAGTAAGCTCCGCCTAATTACCGGAGTCAACAAGAACAAGATTCAAATAAAAAAAATGCAAGCTGGCTATGCATGGATGGAACTTGAGTGGACGAACCATTGTCCAAGTGTAGGGGCCACACAAGGTTCAGTTTCTGCTCATTGGGTCCATTGGCTACCATTAAAGAGGGTGACATCAAATGAAAGGAAAATACTTTGCCACGAATTGAGATTCTCTCTAGATC